TTTCCCTAGCACAGCTCTAAGTCATAGCAATGGCTTGTATAACCAGAAAGGCTAGTGTGTACCCAATGCTTTCTGCTGGAAGCATAACATACTGGAAGGAAATTAAGATTTTTCTGTTTTGCCCATAATCAGAGTTCAGAGCAGTAGAGAAACTGAGCACGACTATAGTGCAACTCCTCTCAACAGTAGAGTAAGTTGATTGTTGTAGGAGGGAAAAAATGCATTCCTCTCAGAGGAACAGCTGTAATAAAACATGAACTTGAACATGGGGTGGAGGTGTTTCTGGAGGACGAAGAGAATTCAGGAGAGAACCTGCTTTTTGGAGATGGGGATGCAATGTATGATTACAACATTCTTATGAACTATTATTTTTATTTTCCCACTTCTTAAGCTGCTACCAGTAATTTTGTGATATGTTTTTGTGCTGTGAGCTCAGGGACAGAGGCTTGGACTCTTGGAAAAAATCTCATCTTTTCTAGAGTACACGGTTCTGAAAATACCAGATCTTCTATATTTCTGCAATCATACTTGCAGATAGGTGTGTCTGGCTTTTTTATTTTTACGTAAACATTGTGTTTATTGTACCTGTTGATTGTGTGAATTGCAGATCACGTTAACTTGTATGGTGAAGCTGGTCAAGTGCCGTCCTCACCTGAGCCAGTCAGTAGTGGAATCCCTGCTGACCCAATTGCAGAGTGCCCAGGACGCTGCTAGGATTCACATGTGCCACTGTTTAGCAGCTATTGCCATGCAGCTGCCTGTCTTAGCAGATGGGATGCTAGGAGACCTAATGGACCTCTATAAATTAATTGGGCGATCTACCACAGATAAAAAACAGGAACTCTTGGTAAGACCTCCTTCTGGTGAATAGCCCTTTATGGATAAAGTCTATATAAACTACTGTGGATGGATTTTGTTTAGAAAGGCAGCTAAGCCATTTGTTATGTCCAAGTTGATGTCCCAGTCTGTAGCCTCAGTTTTAGTTTTGCTTTAACTTTTGACTACATATGTCAGTGTTCAATGTTGAAATAGCATCTTATAGATGGAGCTGAACTGTGCAGTGTATTCCATGAGATTTTCCAGCAGATGGCACTGCTTAGACAAACCTAGCTATTGAAATTATTGGGGTACCTGGGAAGTAATGCTTGTAGAAAAACAAAATGGCAGTTATCTCAATTTATATATGGTACTCTGACGCACATGACTTTTAATATACTGTAAGAGACAAAAATGCTTCTATCACATCTATTTGGAAATTAATTTGAATTTTAAGAAAGAAATTACAAGCTTATCGTTAATTCATTTGGAGCATTCGAAATATCTGTTGAAAGCCACAATAAGGATTCTTTAAATGAAAGTGACTTTCATCTACAAGAAATACTTGGGTTGCCATAACTACTTAAAAGATACATGACTGAGAAAAGTTCCTTGGTTAAAATGTATATGTAATCTTCTATGTAGTTTTGAGTCCAAAATTAAGCAGATAATTCTGTTTCCTAAACTACCAGAAATGGGCTTTTTTTTTTCCCTTGTTTTGTTTAGTTCCTGAAATATAACCTTCTTCCTCATCCCTCCACTCTTCATTAGGTTTCTCTTGCCACAGTGATATTTGTTTCCAGTCAGAAAGCTTTATCTTCAGAAATCAAAACTGTTATCAAACAGCAGCTTGAGAATGCCTCCAATGGATGGACAGCCTACAGGATAGCCAGGCAGGCTTCCAGAATGGTAAGTGAAAATACCTGGAGGAAAATTGCTTGGTGTGGTTGGAAGGCTGCTAGTGATTTCTTTGAACTGGAAAAAGAAAGTAAGGAAAATGGTAGGACTTGAAAGGAGGAAGTGAATGGAGGGCAAAAAAAAAAACCCAACTCATTTTCCCTCTTAATTCCCTGGAATGCTGATTCATATATATGTGCTATTTAGGGCAGTCATCCCATCAGGATGGTTTTTCACTTGTCTTTTTGAAGTGTTTGAGAAGGAAGAAAGTAATGACCTAATAATACTTTCTTCAGCACGTGCCTAATCTGCATTGTCTAGCTGTTCTTCAGAAGGTGATACAGGTCGTCCTGATGTGTGCTTTTCTTTCTTCAATGTGATGAAAGGAAGAAAAAAATACTGTTTCCCTTTTCCCTTCAATAAAGTCACAGCTGGGGTTAGAATTATGTAGAAACCCTAGTATGAGATGCTAAGGTAATTTTAAACAGGTAAAGTACATATTGCAGAGGAGAGGACTGACCATAACACTATTTCGGTAAATTGGTCAGGATTTTTTATTTTAGCTCTGGGCTCATTTGATAGTTTTAAACCTAGTGTTTCTGTGGGGATGGAAGATATGTTTTCAGTAAATCATGAAAGTAAATTTTGGTATCTGTTTGTCATCTTGTTATATTATCTTGTGTAAAAAGACCTACACCTTATACAGGCTGATATTTCTGTAAAATAAGCATTTGTGCTTTTACTTATTGTTAGGATTGTCATGATCAAATGATTGGAAGAAGTTTCACTGGTTTTATTTTTAAAGTAAGAGTACTTCTGGAGATGTTACTGTTCTCTTATTTCTAATTGTTTCATAGAAACCCACAGCCTTCTTTTGCATCCCCTCTTAGAAGCTTTCTTGTCATTACAGGGCAACCATGACATGGCCAGAGAACTGTATCAAAGCCTGCTGACTCAGGTGGCTTCAGAACACTTCTACTTCTGGCTGAACAGCTTGAAGGAGTTCTCCCATGCAGAACAGTGTCTGACAGGTTTGCAGGAGGACAACTATAGCTCAGCGCTTTCTTGCATTGCTGAAGCTTTAAAATCCTATCACAAAGGAATAGCGTCACTGACGGTTAGCACAGATCTTCTACTTTAGTGATGATGTTTCTGTATACTGCAGCAGGTCTGTTTGGTTTCTGTTCTTAAACCTCTGAAAAGTTTTTAAAGTTGTCTGACACCTGCCAGACTCTCTTTTTGAGAAGACTGCAGGGAAGAGCCAGCTGTAACACACTACATCTTCAGAGAGAAGATCCTGTAGCTTAGTTAAGCGTCATTAGCTAGACTTCTCTTTTTTCTTTTCTTCTCCACCCCCACCACACACACACTTCCTGCCTTGATCAAATCATATGATATGTGACATATTTGGGTTCATGAAAGGCAGGTCCTGCTTGACCAACCTGA